CCCCGAATCTTCGATTACGGGGACATAAAAAGAAATGGTCTTCTATTAACTTTTCATATTAATAAACATTATAAAGAAGACGTTACAACAATGAAAATGTTTGTTCTGATTTTCATATTAAGTTCTCTGAAAAATATACTCAGAACTGAGTAAAAGGGTGGAGTAAAACAAGAATAAAGGCAGAACCTATGTCGGAAAAGTCTTTGTCACAAGATTTTCAAACTTTTCAAAATGATAAATTAGTACTTGCTCATCAATCAATTAAGATATCATGATATGTTTCCTTGTTTTTTAATCTAGAACAGGCTGTGAAACTTGGTATGGTATTTACATACTACGACTTCACATTTTCAAATATTTTTAGGGGTACTTGTCATAAAGGGAATATGAAAAAATCACAAAAATACTTCTTCAAACATCGTCGTTTATAAACTTTTTTAACTGAATAATATTTAACAATATTTTATCAAGAATAATTTCTTTTTTATTCAATTAACATAAAAGATAAGTCCACCATTAATAAAAATAGTCAAATGAACTCCATTATTTTTAGTCAATTATTCACCCTATATTTGTAAATATTTTTAGACGTCTTCGTCACAATGTTTTCAATCTTCAATATGATGAAGAACATAGCCAAATGATTACAAAAAATGATTAAAATATATACCTTTCCTCTCTAACTAATGAAAGATAGGCTATTTACCGATACTCATATTCTTGACCTTTTTGCACTTACACGGGATTTAATAATTAAATGACTGTTTGGGGTTACTTTCAGATTAAATATTTATCAGAAATTGTACTTTTTCTTTAAAAAGATCATATTTATTATAAAAATTGTAATCAAACACCAAAAATATGAATAGGTAACAAATAATTGTTAAAAGGAATGCACATCATTTCATTATAGATATCACACAAAAAAAATGTACACACGATCAAATGATCTACAACACGTACATCTTTGACTTAGACACATTTCATCAAGATATTACACTATATAGCTGGCAACTAAAGATTTCTTACGATTTATGCATTCCTTCAAAATGGTTACATACCATTCAAATTATTACGAAAGTTGTATGTACATTGTAATTTCATTACACTAGATAGTCTTGGGTTTGTCAACTTCAGGTCTAGATCTAGTAAATAAAAAGTGCCTACATATTTTCTCTTATTCCAGAAATATATTGCCATTAAGCATTATAAATTAAAAAATATATGAATTGAATCAAGATTATGTTGGCATGATTGCATTCTGTGAATTTCAAACTGCAGTATTTTCTACCATTTTTATTGAAGCTGTCAAGTACGGGAAAAAGTGGCATTTAATTAATTTTGACGTCTTAATAGGTTAGCACAGGTTTAACACATTTACAAGTTATGATGTCATTCGAAGAAGGTTCTACGTTAAAAGAAATGTAATGAATACTGTGTGCTAAATCAAAAGTTTATGTCTACATGTATAGTTTTTGCATTAGAATGACTGTGTATTTTACGAGGGCTGTTCTATAAATAATGTCCTGAACTATATGACATACATTATAGATATCATATGACATTAAACTTGACTTTCTCTCATTATTGAATCTTTCATGAATTTAAAACAGTTTATGAGACCACTTTTCATCTCACAGTTTCATCATGAGAAGCTGGGAAACAAGGGCTTTTCGAGACACTGCATTATAATTGAATGGTAAAGAATCAGTAAACTAGAGTGAAAATAAAAGGTTCATTAAAGCTGCCGTAAAACTTGTTAAAAATCCCAAAGAAATATTCACTGAAATATGTGACATTTACAGCAACAAATGCCTGTTTTATAGACAAAAGAGCAGGTGGATTTCAATGATAAAAAATCATATAATGGGCATCAAAAATGGGAACCCTCCTTGCCACCAAAAATTATAACAACTTATGTACTGTTCGACAAATTTCAACAAAGAATATTTAATGATGTATGATTGACTTTAAGACACACAGCAAATTTGATAGACATCACATCGGGGGTAGTTAACACTGAATTTCAGAAACGTTTGACGGTAAAAAAGCTTTATACTCAAAGGTCACCCCATATTTTGAAAAAAGTGTGAAAACGACACCGTGTACAAAATTCTTAATAATTATTTTAAGATATCAGTAATTGTAGTTATCCACGTTAGTTTTATTTTCAAACAGATATTGGAACATGAATCTATTGCTTAAAACCCTAAAAGCAAAATTTGCTATAAGAAGTACTTGATAAAAGCGGCGAATGTCTGACAAGTGCACAGGTATGCAAGAGCACAAAGACAGATTTATATGTAATTTTCTTAAACATTAGTGGTACTGTTGTTCAAAATCGTATTCGGAGAAACAGTTTAATTTCTGAAGAAGTCTAGAAAGCACTTTTTTGGTCAAAAAATCAAAAGGTTTATTAGAGGAAGGACCCAGAATCAGGAATCCACTACATTAAATTTCTTCAAGACAGCGTCCAAACCCGCATGCCCTGAAGAGTTAAGGGGTGTTTGGGATAGACAGAAAGTTAATGTTTTTTCACATTAACAATATTCGCCAGATCTGTGACCTTTTGACTCGTTTCTATTTCCAAACTTAGAAAAAACACCTTTCAGAAGGAAGAAACAAGTCCGGGAAATCACTGGATCTGCCATTTTCCAGTATACTAAGGGTCATTCCCAAAAAGGAGTTCTAAAAATGACCAGAAATTGGATAAAAATGTTACGTACATGTATTTTACTTAAAAGATATTAATTAGTAAATTCATGAAGACTTAATCATTGAAAAGCGTCTTTGCTTCTCTCTGAGCACAGAGGACATTATTTATTGAACAGCCCTCGTAAAGCCTATAGCTATACAGAGCATATTTTTAGGTCTTATACTTACCCCACCCCCTTTCTTATTTAGGAGGAAGTCGATATTGAACAAAAGCCAAAAAAAAACCACCCTACTTTTATTTTTCTATTAGAAGGAATTAAAAATAAGCTAAAAATAATTAATTTTTCTACTAATTTTTAACTGTTACTTTGCCACAATACTTTCAAGTATACATGTACCTCCACCAACATTTAAAGTATGCTTTGATCATGGCGAAGAAAATTATGATATGATAGTACTTGTGTAAAGGCTTAACTTTATTTCAATATTTTATCTAGAGCCTCTTTCAGAATTATTGAAAAGTATAGAGTTTTATTTATATTTTTGCTTTTCATTTATTATTTTTTTTTTTGTTTTGATTTAACGTAATGTTTTTTTGGGGGGGGGGGGGGGGGGGGGGGGGGGGTGTTTGGGGGGGGGGGGGGGGGGGGGGGGATCTCTTCCTCTTTCATTGTCAAATAGGATTTGCCAAACTTAAACAAACTAAAAGTTGAAATGACGGAAAATTTAATTTTTCCTATTAAAGAGTATTTAAACCTGATTTTTGCAGGGTTTGATTTCTAAAAACAAGTGAAATATCATTCTTTAAGCAAATATTATAAGGAGGAATATTAAAAAGAAATTCTATTTACTTAACAATTAAAGAATCTCTTTTCGAACACAATTTTAGCATTGAAAGACTACGTGAATCTTTTAATTATTTCGTACGACTATTTGTATTTTTCTGGTTACAGAAAATGTAAAAATTAGTTTCGCTGTAAAAAAAAATATCAAAGAGTGTATATTTTGTATCACTTTAAAGGGGGTCATTTTTCAATGGGGGTCATTATTTTATAGGACTAACATATAAAATAATGACCCCCTAGGACCCTTTTTCTACGAAAAATGATTTTTTTCTACGGGTGGGGGTCATTTTTTGTCGTTGAAAAATGACCCCCCGGTCATTATTCGATGGGGGTCATTATTCGTCTTTACACCGGCATAATCAAGCGAAGATCTCGATCCAATGTGTTAATCCATTTGAAATATTATTTTCATTGAAGGCAATTAACTGTTCATGACATTGTAAAGTCATATAAACAAGGCGGGTTTAAGTCCTTACTCAGCTCCAGGGAATCTCATAAAAAAGTGTATTAGGTAGAAGAGCGGACATTTAAAAAAACAATTACGTTATCGGACGTCATGAGAAGAAACGACGACAGCGCCGGGTGATCATATAATGTCGTTTTCATTTTATAACTTTTTGGCAAATAATGAACATTCAGTTCGGCTAAAATTTTCAACATTTCTTTATTTTTTGTTGTTTTATGTTCTTTATAAATTTTGATCGCACAGATTACATAGTACTAATTTTATAGTCTCAGTCCACGAACTTTTTGATAACCCCTCGTAAATCAATCTGTTGTATTTAAAAATTTTCCCAAATTAGATAACTCTTTTACATTTTGACTACTCAATTTAACTTACAACTTTAAACACTTGGTTTGACATAATAATATATACTTCTTAATGTACATACTTCTCAGATTTTCATAAAATGGACATGCATTTTAGTTACAGTTTTATTTATTTTATATTTCCTTAAATTTTCATGAAGATTTTAAATATTCAAATCCTATTTGCACCGAGTCTCGAATATGCTGCTGTACGTTACTTTGAAGATTCTCTTTTAATACTGAGGCCCGTAGTTACACGGGGAGAGGGAATTTTTAAATTAGGGGATTTTCTTGACACTTTATTTTTAGACAGTTGGCCTTTGCTCGATTCTTTTTTTTCAAATTTATTTATCAATTTTATTTATTTATTTATTTATTTATTTATTTATTTATTTATTTATTTACGTAAATAAATTTCTTCAAAATGTTTGGATTTAATATTTAATATTAAATCTATTTCTGTTCTATTTTCTGTTCATTTTCATATTTTATATAATTTTGTCTTTTATTTATTGATTGCTTTATGATATTGGCCTGCTAGCTTTGATAGATTAGTCATAAGAAACCATGCAAATACGTAAGTTGTATATGTAAAGCTTAACCCGGCTCTCACTTGTCACTCGTTTTATAATACTCTAGATTGATCACGGCCCACTTGGTTCTAGAAATACCCTAATTTTGTACCGGAAGTGTAAAAGATAACCTTTCGCGTTCGCTTGAATTCGGGAAAATCCCTGTGGTTCTGATGAAGAATAGATCAGGGACCGGGGTCTAAATTGAAGCTTTACAGGATAAAAGTGTTTATTATTTGGAGGTATCTGTAAAGAGGTAAGGACATAATTATATAACACCTACAAACGTCACCGCCTCGCCGGGGTTCATTCCAAAATATCTTCTCTTTGTTTATCCAGTCTATAAAGTAATTAAAATGCAGAAATTCCGGAATGTTTTTTATTTTTATTTTATAATGAGATTCAGACAGTTAACTTTTCCATTTCTATATTGTATACATATCAGTTTAAATCGCATGGTTGTTCAAGTTATAAAAAATTATTTGCGATATCGAAAAAGCATTGCACAATGCATTTTCTCATCGGTGAATCCTTTTAAAATTTGACTTTAATTGAGCAACATTCTGTTTTTAACTAAACGTAACTTTCAGTTTGTTTATTGTTGTTAAAATATTCATGAAATGTAAAGTACACGGTAATATTTATTGTCTGGGGGTCATGGGTCAACCCACACAGCTGTGTGATTGTCATGTGACCTTACATAACCATTCAGAAAAATTTACTGCCACCAAAATATTACAAAATAAGTTAAACATGAGGGTGTGTGATTACTTAACTGTTAAAGTAATCTAAGAGGTTATTAACTAGAATGATCTGAGTTCCTGCATGTATTACATAAATATCTTCTAAATTAAAGTTTTCCAGAATGAGGCCTCCGTAATTTTTAATTAAATGGAAGAAAATTCATCAGAGTCTTACGTAACGGGAGATAACACACAGAATCAGACAGACACAGACAGAATGACGGAGAGAGCCCGGGGGAAAAGTTAGCCATGGATCAGATGATGTGGGATGATGAAGAAGAAGAAGATGATGAGAATGAAGATGACGGAGATGAAGACATCGATGATAATGATGAGGAAGGTTTGTGAAGAGATGATGATACATTGTAGTAATAAGAGTTTGATACTATTAAACAGTGATAGGAAATCCTCAACAAAACAAAATCACAGGTACAATGACTTGTCTTCAAAGATAATGTATTGTCATGACAGGTGTGGTATGCATATTTATAAACTGCTTCACAGTGTTTCCTGGCTCAACAAGATCAGTGTTGTTAAAAGTGATCTTAGAAATGCCAAAGTCAAAGCTACACAGACTATAGGAATAAAACTGGGGAGTAATCAGTGTTACTGTCTAGCATTGAATACTTAATGAAAATCTGTAATAGTTAATTTTAAAATAATAACATTAATTTTATTTGAATAACTAGACTTTATAATTATTCTTTTTTATAAATTATGATTCCGTTCTTTAGATGAGGAAGACTCGGCCAGCAGTGAACAGAGCGATGAGGAGGAAGACGAGATAGAAGAAGAAGAGGACAAAAGTAAGTCTCCTCTCCAAACATTGTCAATAACAAGCAGGACAACTAATCTGTTGACATTTAACTGTTAACACCCTTAAAGTAAATCACACCATCTTGTCCACAAACTTACGTTCAGTTCTAATACATGAGTGAAAATATGCAAATTTTTAATGAAGTTAATTATTGAATGAGGAAGATTGCACTTATTTTTTTCAATTTATACATGTTTACATTATTTTAGTGGTTTACATAGGTCTTTGTAACAGAGGAATCCTTTGTTGTTTCTCTCTCAGGTCCATGTTCAGCGGAGGCAGATGAAAGGTTAGAGGTCAGAAGGTCAGAGGTCAAGGAGGAAATAGAGGAAACAAAGGAAGAGGAGACAAGGACTGACCTCCCCGACCAGAAACAGACAGATGTAAAGACGGCAGTACCGGCGACCAAATAACCGACAGACGTGACGACGGCAGAACCGGCGACCAAAAAACGCAAACGAAAGCGAGCCACCGGGGAAAAGGGCAAGAGGAAAAAATCCAAGAAAATGAAACCCTCCACATTACGGAGGAATATTAGGTGTGTAGCCATGGTAGCAGAAAAAAAAATTATTAGCATGATTAGAGTGTGGTTCTTGTTTAGATAATCTGGTCACATTATAATTCTTTATTTTGTGCCCCTTCCCTTTCCTTAACTGCAATGACTTTCAAGACCTGTACTTGTACCAAGCTGTATAATATATTGGACATATTATTTGTGTTATTAAACCTAATGCATTGTTAATAACCCTTAAAATAACACAGTCGATTGTTAATTATTGTATAAATTATCTTATCAATCATAGAACATATAATTTACCCTGTCTAAAGTTCTAAAAGGAATTGTCTTCACAGGAAGTTCAAATCACTGCACTGTTGTTATAACGTTAAAATTCAGCATTATACTTAAGTTATTTGTTTTTTTTCTTCCTGCTTTTCTAGTAACTTCTGTAAATTTATCTATTAACATGAGAAATGACAGTACTATTGGAAGAAACAGATTTCTTTTAAATTAGCATTAAGAAATATCTTACTTATATTACTATGGTAACAGGGACATCCTTAAAGAGAATGACCTTGACAAAGAGACCTTGGATGCCCAGCAGGAAGAAGCGATGCGTCGTCAGAGGATTCTAGAGGTACAGAAAGCCCTAGAGGAGCAACGAAAGAAAGAGATGGAAGAAAACGACTCCCAACTCAAGTCTCTGCTACAGAGTAAGTGTTTAGAAGGTTTAGGAAAGCAAAGAGATGGAGGAACCTTATTCAGTTGTCTGTCGGCAGTTAAACACAGAGGGCTGCTCCCAGTACTGAGGGAAATTTGTATTCTGATCTGTAGCCAGATGAGGCATATTAAGTAGAGTGTATACAGTGAACATAGATATGACTTGTAGATGTATTTCAGTGGATGATCTTATTTATCTGTGTTGTATTTCAGTGGATGATGTTATTTATCTGGTATCTGTGTTGTATTTCAGTGGATGATGTTTTTTATGTGGTATCTGTGTTGTATTTCAGTGGATGATGTTATTTATCTGGTATCTGTGTTGTATTTCAGTGGATGATGTTATTTATCTTATATCTTTATGTTATATATTTCAGTGGATGATGAAGATAAGAGCAGTGATGTTATATATCTGGACAGCAGTGACGAGGGGCGATCAAGAAGGAAATCCAAAGGTATCAATTTACTTCTAGTTTTCAGTGTTGACAGATGTTTGTGTTGTATGGTATCATTAAACATCAATAAATAGAGACACATCTTTGTGATATTTCTTTTTCATAGGAGCGATATTTATGCTTGTAATAAGTGATTTATTATATAGACCCCCTCCTTCTATCCCTAATTTTCATTGACCATCCTAAAATAAAGAGACAGACAGTTATGGAATTGAAATGAGAATTGAATACTGTATACAGGGTTATTTTTGCCCTATGTTATTTTCGCACTTTCACACTTAGAAAATATTTTGCCCCGTTTTAAATTGCCTTGATAAAATTCTTTTATAGAAATCATACTGTGCTTTTTAGAGTCAGTCACCTCTGACATGCTGAGTTGGGCAAACGGGTGAAAATAAAGTGGGATGAAAATTTCCCTGTATACAGTAGATATTTTAGGTTTATTTATTTTATACAGACAGTGATGTGATAGAACTGATAGTGATACTTAACTTTTGTTTTCTGTGTGTTTTACAGACAGTGATGTAACTGATGCTTCATTATTTTATATAGACAGTGACGTGATAGAACTGACGCTTTATGTTTATTTTCTGTGTGTAATACAGTGCTTTACTTTTACTTTCTGTTTACAGACAGTGACGTGATAGAACTGATGCTCTATTTTATTTTCTGTGTGTTATACAGTGCTTTACTTTTACTTTCTGTTTACAGACAGTGATGTGATAGAACTGAGCAGCGATGAGGAGGATATTCTGATGACGAAAGACGAAGACAACGAGGTGGACCCCGAGGATCCAAACAATGCCGGCAGTCACATCAACGACGCCCTCAACGTCCACGACGACTTCGGCCGAGTGTTGGTCAACATCGGGCATCCATCCGACGAACCAGACATATTTCTGGCTCCCCAGATAGCTAGATACATCAAAAAACACCAGGTTAGATAATGTCACAGATAGCTAGATACATAAAAAACACCAGGTTAGATAATATCTAGATTAATCTGATACTGTATACATTGTACACGACTGGTTAACATGTAAAGATATATTTATTGTTCGCATATTGTCTGATTATCCAGTCATTATATCTTTCATAGGTATTCATCATTAGTTTTATATAATTTCTGGAAGAAAATCATTGGAAATGAAATAGTGTTTTTTGTTGAGATTTTTGAACACTGTTTCTACCCCTTGTATTGTAGATTGGTGGTGTTCGGTTCCTGTATGACAATCTATATTGTTGAGATTTTTTAACACTGTTTTTACCCCTTTGATTATAGATTGGTGGTGTTCGGTTCCTGTATGACAATCTTATCGAGTCCCTGAGCCGGTTTCGTAACAGCCCTGGTTTCGGTTGTATTCTGGCTCACAGTATGGGTTTGGGTAAGACGATTCAGATGATCTCCTTTGTGGACGTGTTCCTGAGATGTGCCAAGGCCCGCACGGTTCTCCTGATTGTCCCGATTAACACACTACAGAACTGGATGGCCGAGTTCAACATGTGGTGTCCCTCCCAAGATATGGTGGGAGATCTAGGAACTGATCATGTGATCCCCAGACCGTTCAACGTGTACCTCCTCAACGATAACTTCAAATCCACAGGGGCCAGGGCCAAGGTCATAGGTAGGTCAAAAGGTCTTAGTAGGTCAAAAGGTTATAGGTAGGTCAGAGGTCAATGTCTGCCCTATAAACCAGTATCATGATTACTGAATGACATATAACTAAAGAGTGTGATAACTTTTAGTCCCTTACAAACAATGAACCTCTGTACATGAATGAAAATATGTTTTGATTTCTCGTGCAGAAATATTAGAAGAACCCAAATTTTGATTGACAGATTTGTTTTATTTTTTTAATTACAAGGGGAGTGGTACACAAAAGGCGGAGTTTTATTGATGGGGTACGAGATGTACAGATTACTTTCTAGTCGTAAAGGTCACATGGCCGACGTCAGGGTCAAAAAACCAAAGAAGACCTCAGCATCTCCTGTCGTAATTGATGTGGATGAAGAGGATAAAAATAAGGAACTCTTAGTGGGTAAGGCCACTTTAAGCTATGGATAAAATTATAAGTTCTAACTAGTTCTAACTATAAGTTAACTAAGTGGGTAAGTTCACCTTAAGTTATCCATAAAATAAGAAGTTCTTATTGGGTAAGTCCACCTTAAGTTATCCATGAAATAAGAAGTTCTTAGTGGGTAAGTCCGCCTTAAGTTATCCATGAAATAAGAAGTACTTAGTGGGTAAGTCTGCCTTAAGTTATCCATGAAATAAGAAGTTCTTAGTGGGTAAGTCCACCTTAAGTTATCCAAAAGTTGAATAAGGAGCTTCAAGTGTGAATGTCCAGAGGGTTAAATCAACCAAAAATAAGGAGCCCTTAGTTAGTGGTCATTTTTTTTAGGACTTTAACAACAGAAATCAAATTTAGTTATCCAGTTGATGTAGACAGTGATTCAATTAAAAATTCTGATGCAAGGAAATTCTGCACACTCAGACAGAAACATTTTTTTCTTCATTTAAAGGTGTCCATGAAGCCCTGATCAACCCAGGCCCTGACCTTGTGGTGTGTGATGAAGGTCACAGAATCAAAAATAGCCAAGCTGGAATCTCACAGTCCCTCAAAAACATCAAAACCAGGTAACTGATAAAAAAATCAAACTTAGGTCAGAAGGTCACCCTAAAAAAAATCAAAACCACACACTCTCACATAACTGGTACATATTTACATTGTTTCATGTTGTACTGACGGTGTGTTATGTTAACTGGGTATCCCCTGTAAAACAATCTAATTAAATATTACTGTTATTTTACATACATGTACTTTAACTGAATTGTTTTATGTTGTAGACGACGTGTTGTGTTAACTGGGTACCCCCTACAGAACAATCTGATGGAGTACTGGTGTATGGTAGATTTTGTCCGTCCCAATTACCTCGGCACCAAAACAGAATTCAGTAACATGTTTGAGCGACCAATCACAAACGGCCAATGTCAGGACAGTACACCAGCGGATGTCAAACTGATGAGATATCGAGCTCACGTGCTCCACAGCTTACTGGAGGGGTTCATACAAAGGTAGATCTATATTAAACTGATGAGATATCGAGCTCATGTACTACACAGCTTACTGGAGGGGTTCATACAAAGGTAGATCTATATTAAACTGATGAGATATCGAGCTCATGTACTACACAGCTTACTGGAGGGGTTTATACAAAGGTAGATCTATATTAAACTGATGAGATATCGAGCTCATGTACTACACAGCTTACTGGAGGGGTTTATACAAAGGTAGATCTATATTAAACTGATGAGATATCGAGCTCATGTGCTCCACAGCTTACTGGAGGGGTTTATACAAAGGTAGATCTATATTAAACTGATGAGATATCGAGCTCATGTGCTCCACAGCTTACTGGAGGGGTTTATACAAAGGTAGATCTATATTAAACTGATGAGATATCGAGCTCATGTGCTCCACAGCTTACTGGAGGGGTTTATACAAAGGTAGATCTATATTAAACTGATGAGATATCGAGCTCATGTACTACACAGCTTACTGGAGGGGTTTATACAAAGGTAGATCTATATTAAACTGATGAGATATCGAGCTCATGTACTACACAGCTTACTGGAGGGGTTTATACAAAGGTAGGTCTATATTAAACTGATGAGATATCGAGCTCATGTACTACACAGCTTACTGGAGGGGTTTATACAAAGGTAGATCTATATTAAACTGATGAGATATCGAGCTTGTATATTTCATAGCTTAGTGGAGGGATTCATACATAGGTAGATATTAAACTGATGATATAACGAGCTCATGTGCTCCACAGTTATTGGAGGGGTTCATACAAAGAAAGATATTAAACTGATTATATAACGAGCTCATGTGCTACACAGCTTACTGGAGGGATTCATACAAAAGTAAATATTAAACTGATGAGATATCGAGCTCATGTGCTCCATAGTTATTGGAAGGGTTCATATCAAGGTAGTTATCAAACTGATGAGATATCAAGCTCATGTCCTACACAGCTTACTGGGGGGATTCATACAAAGGTAGATAAGAGCTAATCAGATATCACATTTGTACTCTCAAAAGCTCACTTAAAACATACCTACTTGTATTATGTAATATTTACAAAAAATACACAATGTCCTGTGCTTCTGATTAATGAAATATTATATATCAATAGAATGGTAACAAATCTGTTTATTTTACATTACTTTGGACTCACAGCTACATTATCCCTGATTTTAACGTCATTTGATTTCTCTATTAATTTAAAGGCGAGGCCACACTGTGCTACAAGAAGCCCTGCCACCAAAACAGGAGTTGATCCTTTTAGTTCGCATGTCCTCAATCCAGCGAACGCTATACAGGGAGTTCATGAACTCGCTTCAGGTTCAGAATCTCGGGTCTTGGGCCAGCACCAACCCACTCAAGGCCTTTGCTGTCTGTTGTAAGGTAAGCACCAACCCACTCAAGGCCTTCACTGTCTGTTGTAAGGTAAGCACCAACCCACTCAAGGCCTTCACTGTCTGTTGTAAGGTAAGCACCCACTCAAGGCCTTCACTGTCTGTTGTAAGGTAAGCAACCACTCAAGGCCTTTGCTGTGTGTTGTAAGGTAAGCACCAACCCACTCAAGGCCTTTGCTGTGTGTTGTAAGGTAAGCATCGACCCACTCAAGGCCTTCGCTGTGTGTTGTAAGGTAAGCAACCAACCCACTTAAGGCCTTCGCTGTCTTTTGTAAGGTAAGCACCAACCCACTCAAGGCCTTCGCTGTCTGTTGTAAGGTAAGCACCCACTCAAGGCCTTCGCTGTGTGTTGTAAGGTAAGCAACCAACCCACTTAAGGCCTTTGCTGTCTGTTGTAAGGTAAGCAACCAACCCACTCAAGGCCTTTGCTGTCTGTTGTAAGGTAAGCAACCAACCCACTCAAGGCCTTCGCTGTGTGTTGTAAGGTAAGCACCAAGCCACTCAAGGCCTTCGCTGTCTGTTGTAAGGTAAGCACCAACCCACTCAAGGCCTTCGCTGTGTGTTTTGTAAGGTAAGCAACCAACCCACTTAAGGCCTTCGCTGTCTTTTGTAAGGTAAGCACCAACCCACTCAAGGCCTTCGCTGTCTGTTGTAAGGTAAGCACCCACTCAAGGCCTTCGCTGTGTGTTGTAAGGTAAGCAACCAACCCACTTAAGGCCTTCGCTGTCTGTTGTAAGGTAAGCAACCAACCCACCCAAGGCCTTTGCTGTCTGTTGTAAGGTAAGCAACCAACCCACTCAAGGCCTTCGCTGTGTGTTGTAAGGTAAGCACCAACCCACTCAAGGCCTTCGCTGTCTGTTGTTAGGTAAGCACCAACCCACTCAAGGCCTTCGCTGTCTGTTGTAAGGTAAGCACCAACCCACTCAAGGCCTTCGCTGTCTTTTGTAAGGCAAGCACCCACTCAAGGCTTTTTCTGTCTGTTGTAAGGTAAGCACCCATTCATGGCCTTTGCTGTCTGTTGAAAGGTAAGTATTGAACGATATTATGAACTGCAAATTCTTACATTGACAAATGAATTGAAGTGATTAATCGATGTTAGGCCACACAAAATTAATTTCTTGATTCTCAGGCCCTCCATCATCTCCAAGGGTATTCCGAGGTGCCTCATTGACCCTTTTTATTGCTAAATCAATTAAATAAAAACAAATTACCTCCCTGTCATCATTGTTTTAGGTTTTGTATGATGTAAAATGCTGCTTCATCATGTTTGGGGGCAATAAAAAAAGTAAAAATAAAAAATGCCTCACTCCCTCATCATATTTCTTGAAAAAAGAACCAAGGAATTAACTTTGCAAGGCCTATTAGATTAAAATGCAAAATTCCTGTGCATAATTAGTGTTTTTTTTCTTTTGTCTATTTATAGATTTGAAATCACCCTCATTTTATATTTATCTATTTTATATAGAATCACCTGTATTTTATATTTTGTCTATTTACAGATATGGAATCACCCAGACATTTTGTACAACTTAATCCAGAAGAAGAATAGCATCACTGATGACAACGACCTTGACATTGAGACAGAATCTGGTACAGGGGGGAAGAAGAAGAAATGTGTCAAGAAGAAACCCCCTAAGAGCCCTCAGCCTGTAGACCAGTATTACCCTCCTTATGAAAGGGGGCAGGAGATCAGCTATGACTGGGTAATTATTATATTCTATATATAAACACTATTACCCTCCTTATAAACGGGGGCAGGAGATCAGCTATGACTGTGTAATTATTATATTCTATATATAAACACTATTACCCTCCTTATGAACAGGGGCAGGAGATCAGCTATGACTGTGTAATTATTATATTCTATATATAAACTCTATTACCCTCCTTATGAACAGGGGCAGGAGATCAGCTATGATTGTGTAATTATTATATTCTATATATAAACACTATTACCCTCCTTATGAACAGGGGCAGGAGATCAGCTATGACTGTGTAATTATTATATTCTATATATAAACACTATTACCCTCCTTATGAACAGGGGCAGGAGATCAGCTATGACTGTGTAATTATTATATTCTATATATAAACACTATTGCCCTCCTTATGAACGGGGGCAGGAGATCAGCTATGACTGGGTAATATTTATATTCCATATATAAACACTATTACCCTCCTTATGAACAGGGGCAGGAGATCAGCTATGACTGGGTAATATTTATATTCCATATATAAACACTATTACCCTCCTTATGAACAGGGGCAGGAGATCAGCTATGACTGTGTAATTATTATATTCTATATATAAACTCTATTACCCTCCTTATGAACAGGGGCAGGAGATCAGCTATGACTGGGTAATTATTATATTCTATATATAAACACTATTGCCCTCCTTATGAACAGGGGCAGGAGATCAGCTATGACTGTGTAATTATTATATTCTATATATAAACACTATTACCCTCCTTATGAACAGGGGCAGGAGATCAGCTATGACTGTGTAATTATTATATTCTATATATAAACACTATTGCCCTCCTTATGAACAGGGGCTGGAGATCAGCTATGACTATGTAATTATTATTAGCTCACCTGAGCCGAAGGCTCAAGTGAGCTTTTCTGATCAAAATTTGTCCATTGTCTGTCGTTGTCGTTGTTGTCGTCGTAAACTTTTCACATTTTCATCTTCTTCTCAAGAACCACTGGGCCAATTTCAACCAAACTTGGTACAAAGTATCCTTGGGTGAAGGGGATTCAAGTTTGTTCAAATGAAGGGCCACGCCCTTTTCCAAGGGGAGATAATCATGAATTTGTTAAAAATTAATTGCATTTTAAAAAAATCTTCTTCTCCAGAACCGCTGGGCCAGGAAAGATGAAATTCATGTGGAAGCATCCTCAGGTAGTGTAGATTCAAGTTTGTTCAAATCATGACCCCCGGGGCAAGGGTGGGGCAAAAATGGCCGACCCAAGTTTAACATAGGAATATATAGGAAAAATCTTTAAAAATCTTCTTCTCCAGAACCACTGAGCCAGGAAAGATGAAATTCATGTGGAATCATCCTCAGGTAGTGTAGATTCAAGTTTGTTCAAATCATGACCCCCGGGGCAAGGGTGGGGCAAAAATGGCCGACCCAAGTTTAACATAGGAATATATAGGAAAAATCTTTAAAAATCTTCTTCTCCAGAACCACTGAGCCAGGAAAGATGAAATTCATGTGGAATCATCCTCAGGTAGTGTAGATTCAAGTTTGTTCAAATCATGACCCCTGGGGCAAGGGTGGGGCCAAAATGGCCGACCCAAGTTTTACATAGGAATATATAGGAAAAATCTTTAAAAATCTTCTTCTCCAGAACCACTGAGCCAGGAAAGATGAAACTTACGTGGAGTCATCTTCAGGTAGTGTAGATTCAAGTTTGTTCAAATCATGACCCCCGGGGCAAGGATGGGGCCAAAATGACCGACGCTAGTTTTACATAGGAATATATACATGTAAGAAAAATCTTTAAAAATCTTCTTCTCAAGAACCACTAGGACAGAAAAGATGAAACTCATGTGGAATCATCCTCAGTAGATTCAAGTTTGTTCAAATCATGACCCCCCGGGGCAAGGCTGGGGCCAAAATGGCCGACCCAATTTTTTCATAGGAATATATAGGAAAAATCTTTAAAAATCATCTTCTCCAGAACCACTGAGCCAGGAAAGATGAAACTCATGTGGAATCATCCTCAGGTAGTGTAGATTCAAGTTTGTTCAAATCATGACCCCCGGGGCAAGGATGGGGCCAAAATGGCTGACCCAAGTTTTACGTAGGAATCTATAGGAAAAATCTTTAAAAATCTTCTTCTCCAGAACCACTGGGTCAGGAAAGATGAAACTCATGTGGAATCATCCTTAGGTAGTGTAGATTCAAGTTTGTTCAAATCAAGAACCCCGAGGCAAGGATGGGGCCAAATTGGCTGACCCAAGTTTTACATAGGAATATTTAAGAAAAATCTTTAAAAATCTTCTTCTCCAGAACCACTGGGCCAGGAAAGATGAAACTCATGTGGAATCATCCTCAGGTATTGTAGATTCAAGTTTTTCAAATCATGACCCCCGGCCCTGGGGATAGGGTGCGGCCAAAATGGCCGACCCAAGTTTTACATAGGGATATATAGGGAAACCTTTTAAAATCTTCCTTTCAAGTACTTCAAAGATTTGATTAGTGATACCCGGGGTATTTATATGGAATCATCCTGAGGTAGTGTAGATTACAGTTTGTTCAAATGATGAACGCCTCGAAGGGGGGAGTAAATTCAAGCCCGATGTGCTCAGGTGAGCGCTGTGGCCCCTGGGCCTCTTGTATTCTATATATAAACACTATTACCCTCCTTATGAACAGGGGCAGGAGATCAGCTATGACTGTGTAATTATTATATTCTATATATAAACTCTATTACCCTCCTTATGAACAGGGGCAGGAGATCAGCTATGACTGTGTAATTATTATATTCTATATATAAACACTATTGCCCTCCTTATGAACAGGGGCAGGAGATCAGCTATGACTGTGTAATTATTATATTCTATATATAAACACTATTGCCCTCCTTATGAACAGGGGCTGGAGATCAGCTATGACTATGTAATTATTATATTCTATATATAAACACTATTACCCTCCTTATGAACAGGGGCAGGAGATCAGCTATGACTGTGTAATTATTATATTCTATATATAAACTCTATTACCCTCCTTATGAACAGGGGCAGGAGATCAGCTATGACTGTGTAATTATTATATTCTATATATAAACACTATTGCCCTCCTTATGAACAGGGGCAGGAGATCAGCTATGACTGTAATTATTATATTCTATATATAAACACTATTACCCTCCTTATGAACAGGGGCTGGAGATCAGCTATGACTGTGTAATTATTATATTCTATATATAAACACTATTGCCCTCCTTATGAACAGGGGCTGGAGATCAGCTATGACTGTGTAATTATTATATTCTATATATAAACACTATTGCCCTCCTTATGAACAGGGGCTGGAGATCAGCTATGACTGTGTAATTATTATATTCTATATATAAACACTATTACCCTCCTTATGAACAGGGGCAGGAGATCAGCTATGACTGTGTAATTATTATATTCTATATATAAACACTATTGCCCTCCTTATGAACAGGGGCAGGAGATCAGCTATGACTGTGTAATTATTATATTCTATATATAAACACTATTGCCCTCCTTATGAACAGGGGCAGGAGATCAGCTATGACTGGATAATACTTCTGTCTCATAACCAGTATTAGAGTATCTTCCCCTTTTGTTAGAATTATCAACCCAATACTTGAAAACATTAACTTAAAGAACAAAATGCAGTTAGAATAAATTGCCAGCAGCTCCATTTTCAGGGACTTTAAATAGTTTAAGCAACTTACCGTAATTTTCGGATAATAGGTCGATACTTTTTTTCTCAGAGCCGCTGAGGTCGACCAATATACGATTTCGACCTTTCTAAGGCTCAAGTTTACGAAAAATGCCCCAAAATCAATAAAATTTACATCAATTTCAAAGCAAATCTGTGCCACTTTCATAACTTTTTTCATTATTTTACGCAGAAAAATTAATGCCCAGGTAAACAATAAAATATCTATTCTATAGCTTTCTTACAAAATAAATTCCATTACATATCCGTTGATGACAAAGGAAAAAACTGCTTTATCAAGTAAATAATTCCTCAACGTGTTATCCATGCGGTAGCCATCTTGTGAAGTTAGGAAGTCGCTACTGTTTACTAAAAGTAAAACAGCAACCGTATCAAAATTTAAGATACGGAAAAATTTTCAAGATCACAAATGTAGTGTTTTACCATTTATTAGTTGATTGATAAATTGAAATAGTATTAATTTTATTTATTGTGACAGTCTCATATTTTTTTAAGTGTAAAATGAGTGAAATAAATTGTTGCCAGTCAATTCCTAAATTTAATTACCAAATAAACCGATAGTCATTACTATATATTTTTTTAATTTATTTAATTATAATACCGGTCAAACAAATCAGCGCTATAAAAGATTGGCTTCTAACAGAATTTTAATTGTCTCACAGATAAAAGGATTTACACTGTGTGTACACGCAAAGGTTTTAACACCTGTGTCGGTTTAATACCCGCAGGTCTTGATTAACAAATCCACGTGCCGTTATAGGGTATTAGTGTTACACATCATTGAACAAACAAAGCCATGAAATTCATAATGACTGTCGAATTGTGAATGTACCGGTACTCTCAATTAAATATATAAATAAACTTATAGCGTGGCAATATTATTTCAATTCTTTACTGTTGCTTTATATATACATTCAATGGTCGTTTGCGGGGTTTAGCAAATCCCTGAAGAACAAAACTGAAAATGGCGGACATCGAAGCAATTGTCGTCCACCGGTAAATAATGTCTGAATAAAATATATTAAGGATGGATTCTTGTCAGCATTTTACGTCGTCAATGGGTCTCCATAGATTTTGGAAGTCGTAAAATGCAAATTACATATTTAATCAATCTGAATAAATAATTATTGTTTTATTTATTAGTTTATGTATTGTTGAGTCTATTTCTTTTAAAGAAATTCAGTTGTTCGTGATTTTTTCTTTGATTTGCGACAATTGCCATAAAATGCGCAGTTCCGTAGCGAATGTCAA